AAAACACACAAACTAATAAAATCTATGAAAAAACACGGACAGACTAAAGAAAACACGTTTATTCACCGCTACACGGCACTGGCTAAACTGTTTCAATTTTCAGTAGCCACCTGCACTCGTTCGGAGCTCTGAAATACACGCTTTCTCATTGGCTATGTCCACGCATAGGCGTGCTTTACTCCACGTGGACCGGTGAAACTGCCTTTGATCTTATACGGGGGATATTTGCTGCGAAATTTGGCGATTTTTGCAGCAACAGAGCGTGTTAAATATAGATATATAAAACGCACCCGGTATTTCACAGTGTTTCAAGTGACTTCAGATAAAGTATACGTCTTCTAGGTTTGTAATATTTTTTAGAATGCAAATTAAGAATGAACTCAGCCATACCTGTATCATAGTCAAACTGAAGTCTGCTACATATCAGACTCCAAAATTATGGAGTACATTCTCCTTCCGAGGAGCATGAACATATTTTTATTCATAGGAAAACTGAAAATAAACTCACAACAAATTATACAAACATAATAGTATATACTCAAGTGGAGCATAAGCTCCCTATTTTTATTCTTATCACATGGAGTATTTGCTCCAAATTCTTGAGAACATACTAAATGCTCATTTTTATTCATAGGACCCATTATAATCCTGCAGTAAGTAGGTTATGTCATAACTTACTGTATAGGTTAATTTTGTTCGAGTAAGAGTCATAGTTATTGAGATTTTCAGCATTTTTTTTTGTTGGACCAGGTTTGTTTTAAAACACTCAGAATTGAGCATTTCACCCCACCCAGTATTACTTTTTCTTTAGATGGCTAAGTTGAGCTAATCATGGTGACAAAATTCGGTTCTAAGATTGAACAAACCTCGAGCATGCTAGAAGGCTATTCAGTCAGGCTAGAAAACTGTTTGATGAGAATACACATCAAGTTCATTTTCAAAAGAGCCGCATACCGTTTAGGTTTTTCTGTTCACTAAGTTCGAATCACAGTCACTATAAGATCATTTCAAGGTCACTTCAAGGACAAATTGAAAATAAATCCAGCATTCCAGTCCAGACGCACGTCATATAGGTTTGAGCCGACGTTGATTCCAAATCAGAGATCAGTTTGTCTCTAGGAAGGCATTTGAAGGGACTTACTAGGCCACTCAAAAAACAAATTCGAAGAAGTTGAATACCCATTTTCGAATACTCGTCATATGGCACTATTGTATTTCTCAATAGTTCGTAAAAACTGACTCTACATTTTATCTGTCAGACTTCAAGGTTCACAAACATCATTTATTCTAATTGGGGCAACCTTTAAATAATCCTAACATAAAAAAATTAAGTTAAAAATAGTAATCCGTTCACTTGGTTTACATGAAAACAACAATAATGACAGACTTCTGTTACATCAAATAAAAGCTCTTGTTCTCCTTATTATGATCCATATTCAAATGCCCAAATAACTCAAAACAACGGATGATACAGAATCTCTCCAATTTTGCCGGTAAAAAGTAGTGTCGAATGATACACTACAAACTTCAAGTTTAATAAATAAGCTGCCATGGTAAAGGTAGTGTAAGCAGTTCTGGTTCTATGGCCAACGTACTGTTTAAGATCTAAACTTTAAAATAGATAATAATTTTCATTCATTTTCGATACTTTTTTCAAGTTTTATCATTTCTTCGCATAGGTGGACCACTGTGTGATAGTAAGACTTCGGTGCTTTTTCTCGAATATTCTGTCAGTGCTCCCTGTTGCTTCTTTCGAGTTTACATTTCCAAAGCTTTCGGCTACAACTGCGGTAGCCATCTTCAATGACGCTGCCGCTCGTTGGCGACTGATGCCGTCTTTTTTTTTTTTTTTTTTTTTTTTGGTGAGGGGGGAATGCATTTACGCACCATACCATAGCCCGAGCTACGGCGTGTGTGGGACTCCAGGGTCTTGAGGAGATCACCTAATACCCACTAAACCTTAAACCTCCGCGTGGCCTGACTTATCAGCGTCTCGGTAGGCCATGTGTTGTGCGTGACCTGCGGTCTGCTACAACGTCTCCTCATGTGTTTCAGTCTCTGGGAACGCCGGGTTGGTTCCCTTTACCTCGCACATTCTATCGATGTCGTTAAGCGATCATCGATAGAGGGTCTGCTGGTTCTCTTGAAACTCTTGTTTTCGAAAAATCAAGAGTTTCAAGTCCTCTTACCAATATATTGTTCCTGGTCCTGGTCCTGAAGGGTCCTGGTCCTGGTGGGTCCTGGTCGTGGCGGGTCCTGGTCCCGGTGGGTCCTGGTCCCGGTGGTTCCTGGTCCTCTGCATCCACGCCGTGGGGGGGGGGGAGCAACCGCGAGTTCTCCTAGTTTCCTAGTCAAGGATCCAGTTAGCGGGTGCCAACTGGGACCTTGGTCTGGGGTACCTGGTTCTGCGGTTGCGAGGCCTCTCGTCCGGATCGTAGTCCATGAGGAATCGTAGCTGCTCGTTCGGGTGGTCCTGAGCTTTCTCGAAGGTCTTCTCCGCTTTTTTCCTCATGTACTCGTGGATGGTGTCCCAATGCAGGTCTCTACGCAAGGTTGAGTTTCTTACGTAGGATGGTGCACTGGTGGCGATCCGGAGTAGCTTCATCTCTAGAGCAGCAAGTCGCTTGCGGTAGCTGGGGGCAGCGTACCCCCAGACCGCGGAGGCGTAAGCGAGCTGAGGTCTGGCGATGGCCTTGATCATGGATCAGCCGTAGCTTGGTCGCTAGCGGGATGCCGTCTCTGGTGGTATCTGCGTATTTATCTGTTCTCGGCGGACTTGGGACTGAACGGTGGGATTTCCAACATTTTGGGCTGCTTTATGATTGTGTTTCGCCTACTTTCTCTCAGTGGTTATACTTTCTCGTTTTCAAGAATAGGAGTCCAATAATCATCTGTCTATGTCATTGTACACTTCAGCTAACGTTCCGCACGGGTATCTTGAAAAATGACATTATATCGTTTTTTTTTTTTGGAAATTATATTGGTTTTTGACATAACGTATTTTTCTCTACAAGATCATAACTTAGCACTAGCTGATGAACACTTGTTGTGAACTCGTTTTGTAGTTGCATGTGTTGCCTAAACGTCATGATGATTTATTTATCAATGTTTGGCTCTGATGTGATGTAATATATGCTTCAGAGTTGCATTATTGGAGGTTTAAGCTGTAAATTGTATACTATAGCGCCTAGATGTCAGGCACTACGAGAATGTTTGAAATGTGATGTGTCACTCCTAATTTTATGATGTGATGTGGTTTAATTGCACACAACGCAGGCGCGCTGGCGATTTCCCGTAATGATCCTCGGAGTTTTTGAAAACACAAAAAACGGGAAACATCGTAATTTATAACTGTGAACATAACCTGCCTTCAGAAAGGACAACATATAAATAAATAATTCAGCATATTCAGTAATGATTTTCTCACATAGCAAATATCACTGATTTGATACACATGGACATTGGTGTGTATTGACACATAATCATCCAGATGCGATCTTGCTACTCAATCAATTTTCTTTCTCAGAGATAAACACTACAGACAAATCGGCTTCATAAAACATATACTTGCTTTCTGCAACCAACAATGCGTGTAGTTGAGTCATTCCTACATAGATGGACGCTCATAGCGAGCAAACGGGAAATGAACTATTTGCACCCTAAAAACTACCTAGTCTGCAAGATGGCATTTTGTTGTTCTTTTTTGACATTTCATAAGCTTTTTACATAATAGCCGTGCCAAGCGTATCCTCCAAATAATGTTGGGAATCCGATAGAAGTGTTTCCCCATCGTCTTTGTTCTTTGAAGTGATCACAAGGAGCAGCGAGAGAGCTACAGTTAATAGAAGAAGCATGACAAGCAAGTTAATAATGTACGAGTGATCATCAGACTCAAGAAATATTTTTGCGTACAAGGTGTTACTACATTAAAGATGAATTTCAAATATATGTGGTTTCATTGGCCAGACAAACGTGCGAGATTAAGGTGCTACATTCCACAGGTTATTCATTGCAGATTTTATTTGTTATGTATTGAGAGATCTAGTTAATAAAGCCACATATATTGACTGATTGTTCTGTTTAGATTTTATTCATGGAATACGTTAATACCACGATTTTTTCAGTTCAGGCATTACTGCTGGTACACACGGTCGTCAAACTGTCGCGCTGCTAAAAAAATTGTTGCATTTCGACAAGTCCTGACGACGGTTTTTCATGATACGGGCACAGCTTAAATAACAATCAGCTATGAAACTCTCTTGTCAGTGTCAAAAACGGCTGCCATTTCGGCGCATAAGGTCGAATGTAAAGTCTCCCAGTACAAATATGAGAGTTTCTAGTGCTCAGCAGAAGCCAGTACACTATATCATATCAAAATATTACCATTTTAAAATTGCAAAGTATATCTGCGGCCGCTGGCATGAAACGAGGAAACACCAGCAGCTGCTGCTGGTCATTAAAACCTCTTTCATCGTTGTACTGGGGGAATTTATATTCGACTTTCTCCGCCGCAATGGCGGCCGTTTTTAACACTGGCAGGAGGAGAGTTTCGTAGCTGATTGTTATCTAAGCTCTAAGCTGCTGTACAGGCGCCACCCAAATTGTCGCAATCTGAGATTCGTACGCTGGACCGCGCGTCGATAGATCTACATCAATGTAATGCTAAGCGGCGTTTTTTTTTCCAGCGCGACAATTTATCGCCGGTATGTACCGGCAGCGACTATTTCCACAATTTCAAAATGCGGCTGCCGGTTTTTTAATAGTTGCTATGGTTGAAAAAACAAAAGCAACGGAACTGAAATAGAAATCGGGTTGAAGTCGAATTACCGTTGGGTTGCTTTTCGTGAGAAGAGTGCCTTAAACAGGCGCGTTTCTGCAAAATCATGACTTCGGTGATCTTAACTCCGATACATTTTGATTTCATAAAATATTTTCTGATAGACATCCTGGAGCAGCTCAATTTCAAGTATAATGGATAATTTAACAGTGTCTCTTTTCAGGTGACTTTCTGAATATTCTTGATACCAAACTAACCAGCGGATCTTGGGAAGAAAAGAATATCGTCGTAGTGATAATGTGGGCGTTAATAGCGAATAACCAAAAGGCCAAAATAACCATCAAGTCAGCTGGATTGGATGTGAAACTTCAGAATATCGTCAAGCAAGCCCAAGTATTCAATAAAGACACATTGATCACCCAGGAAGACTTGGACAGGATGTATTATGTACTGAGTATATTGAAAGAGAAAGATTATGATAAAGTTAGGTGATATTTAGAGTCATTTTTTAGTGATTTGGATTCAATTTTAGCAAGTTATTTATATTTTTATACTTTTTAATAAACAACTTGTATTCTTGAAATAATCTATTAAATTCTAAACCCGACCTTCATTAACTTTAAAAAAGTAATCCTAAGCCACAAAGTATATCTAATAAAAATCACAGTATCAACCCTATTAATAACTCAGCGAATTATTAATTTGCAATAATTTACACAAGAATTTTATAAAAATTATGTCTATTGAGTATTTAAATGTTAATATCTTCGACAATAAGTCTAAAAATTTCATACAACTATGCACTAACTTGTTTAGTTTCCATCGTATTGTAACGAAAATACCGTGTTTATTGTTTAAAGTCTAATTTATTACTCTTACACTAATGTATAAAACCTCTTATAACCCTGTCGACTGGACTATCGCGTTCTGCAGTGCAGGTTATCGCTCTGCAGGCGCGTAGATATTTATTTTGAAATTTGTGATTTCTTAGTAATCTTGCCCTTTATCGGTGTTCTCTAGATGTCAATCGATTCTTCGCGAACGCCCCCAATGTCCTGCCGTAAGCTGTACCGCTCTTAATGAACGGTCACGTTTCTCTTGTTTATTATTGCAAGGGCAACTCATCGTTACGAGGCCGTCACAATATCCATACTGTTGCATACTGTTGCCGAATTTTACGATCTGATTTTTCGTTCCAAACATTTTCGGTATTATAATTTTTCGTGCGAAGTGGGTTTCATATTTAAAAGCAATTTAAAATGTTAGGGCAGGTTCTATTATTCCATTGATTTAGTTGATGACAGTTAAGAGTTATCATGACTTCCCGGTAGATTTTGAATGGAGTCTAAGTCAACCATGTTAAGAAGTCTGATGGATAAGGACATCAGATTGATTCACAGTCATCGATGGAATAAAAGAACACGTTTATTTATTCGAATTGTACATCACATTCAGTGGTTTTTAAATGGATTTTTTCTTGTATAAGATATGCATTCATATGAAAAAACTTGATAGAAAAGTTGTGAAAAGATGCAGTCACCACAAAATAGAGGTGAGGTGATCACAACAAAAAAAATCTTACTATCATGGTGAATGTTAACATATTCCACAAGGTGGTTCTGTTTGAGCAAATAAAAAACAAATATGTCTCAAAAGTTTATTAGTCACACTAATAAACAATTGCAAATAATTTAAAGACTTCTATAATCACAGATGGCACAGACTCAGTAGCACTGCTCCTAAACAATATTACTCTCAAAGTACACATAAGGCGTTCAGCCTTTAAACTTAAAGCCAGGTGATGTCCCATAGGAAAACTTCATTGTTTTACTATTTGAGGGAGAAGACATGTCATTATTGTATAGAAAATCATCTACATCAGGCTCTTTTCCATTCAAATCAACTTCCATTTCTTCTTTCAACAGCTCCTCATGGTAGTCCCTATAGAAGGGCTGAATTTTTTTGCTGGACCTGTAAAATATTTTAGTTTTTTATTTGTTACCTTATGAGGCTCAAGAAAAGTAGTGAAAAATCCTCAAACATCATCTAGAATTAAGATTAATTAGGCGCTCTTACCTCTCAAGGACATATGGATCAAAAGGATAATAGGCATCTAGAACATTGTTGGACATCATCACCGATCCTTTTTCATCCTGATATATCATAGGCATGGTGTTTCTTGCATTGTGCTCAATGACAGTATAACAGTAAGCCAATTGATATTGTCTTGTAATGGCGGCGAAATTTTGAACTACAGCTGGTTGACATACCCTCAGTGGATTCAGTCTGCTTGTGATTATCTTGCCCATGTTCAAACTACCCAAGAATGAGATACCTAGAAATAATAAATGATTAAAAAGTAAATTGGTAATTTAAGAAAAGTATTATTTTGGTTTCTAATAAAAATGTGACGGAATCAGGGTTCAGGTAAAAACCACGGTTTAAACCTTTTTTAAGGGAAAAAGTCAAGTTTTTTTTAACTTGTAAAATGTTTTCCTTCAACTTTATTTTATATACAGGTTGATTCACAAGTCGTGACCAAAAATGAAACATCATACACAAGACCGCAATTTAAGAGGGTCTCTTCTAAGTAATATTTTTTCCTCAAGGGCTTCATTAAAAAGTTAGTTTACATTTTTTTTAATATCTTTAAAACCCTCAACTGGAATGAACTAAAATTTCGTATGTGGATTTACCTACCACATTCAAAAGTATTTACTTAAGTTTAACGTGCACCAGTGGCGGAGATACAGGGGATTAGTGGCATTATTTTTCCAAATAAAAATAGTACGCCAGTTTTTTTCGAAACGCGCGATTTTTCGAACTTTACCTTTAATTTGCTACAAATAATTACTACCTTTAATTTGCAACAAATAATTACTCGTGTTTTTTTCTAGAGTTCAGTTTCCGTAATAATAAACCAAATTGGATCATTAATGAAGAGCTAAGATACGATTAGTTTCAAAATAAAATAGGCCTTGATACCAACTTGGGAGATAGTTTGTCAAGTTATGTGTTATATGGTTGTTATCGTTACTACTACCATTTGTTTTTTGTAAGTCAAAAGTTTCTTTTTTCCATTTTTGAGTGTTGTGAAATGGAATTTAGCAATGATGAGTACGCCGATATTATTTTTGTGTACGGGTTCTGTAATGGAAATGCTGTAACGGCTTCTCGGGAGTATCAACGTAGATTTCCTAACAAAATGCCAACCTACCCCAAAGGTTTATACGCGTTCATTTCTAAGACTTCGGCAATACGGAATTGCCAAACTTTCCGGAGTTGGAGGCGATGGTGTCCGACATACTGTTCAAGAGGAACTGGAAGTGACTTATTTGGCGATGGATGATCCTGGTACAACTACTAGGCGGATTGCAGCCCAGTTACCATGCTCCTAAAGTCTTGCGTGGAGAATTTTAAATCGGGAAGTTTTACATCCTGACCATCGGCAAAATGTGCAATGTCTGCAACCCGGCGACGAAGTGCAACAGAGAAATTTTTGTGAGTGGTTACTGCAAATGCAATAATCAAAAAGCAGATTTTTATTGAATTGAACCGCTTTTTACGAGGAGTGGAACCTTTAATTCTCATAATGAACATACCTGGTCGTTAGAAAACCCCCGTTCCGTAAGAATACACCCGTTTCAACACAGATTTTCTAGAAATGTCTGGTGTGGCATTTTCAATGGCCAACTGTTTATGCACATATTGTCTCAACGTTTAAATGCAAACTCATACTTAGCTTTTCTAGAGAATTACATAGAAAATGTGTTAAATGATGTTCCGTTAGCAACGAGAGTACGAATGTGGTATGAGCACTATGGCGCCCCACCGCATGTTCGTCGCGACATAACCGCATGGTTAAATAATCATTTTAGACAACGATGGATTGGCAGAAACGGACCCGTACATTGGCCAGCGAGGTCTCCTGACTTGAACCCCCTGGATTTCTTTTTGTGGAGCGCTTTTAAACAACTATTGTATATGTAGTAATACTGTTCAGTTACAAGAAGAAATAGATAATGCATTTCATCAAATTGCGAGGAAAAAATGCTACATAGAAGACCTCCCTTAAATTGCGGTCCTGTATATCATGTTTAATTTTTGGTCACGACTTGTGAGTCACCCTGAATATAATAAATCTAAAATAAATCTTTGTTTAGTATAATCATTAGTTGTCAAAAACACCTCACCATCACATCATATTGAATACACCTTTTTTCACCAGACTTAGTGACCCTATTTTAACATATTTTGCCAATAATTGTAAAATTTTGAGCTAAGAGTGTACAATTTCGAAAAACTTGTTTTGAAAGCAGCGCAACTTCAAAAGTAATGTTACTTGTGTGGTGGAGAAGCAAGAGAAAGAGATATTAATAAAAAAAAGAAGATTATTGATTATTACAGCAGGTGCAGAAAAATGTTTTATTCCTTTGTTGCTATGGACTGGGTACTGAAAAGGCTTTGAAATTATTTTCATTTAAAATATTTAAAAGATCTTTGAATAATGAAGATGACTGAAACTGGGATTATATCAGTGAGATATATTACTAATTTTTCTATTAGATTTTATTCTAAGTTTTAATTTAAGAGTTTAAGAGTACTTTATGTTTATTCCTTTCTCACTTTTCACATATGAATGCAAATAAACAAGTTGTTTTTATGTAAATATGTGTCTTTAACATAATATTTTTTGAACCAATTTTCACAGAATCTGCTTTCCACAAATCAAATAATAATAATAGTATCAACCTGCTACCTATATTGATTAACACGTGGAAAACTGGTTTTTTGATGGGTGTCCACAATAAATTATACATACAATTCTATATTTTTTCAATGTCTATTAGTGTCAGTCAATATTGAAATGCAAATTGTTCAAACCAAATAAATATTTCAAATCAAAAAACACCTGGTTTAAACCAAAAAACCTGTTTTTACCAACTCTGGATGAAACTGAGTGAAACACCACCAACTATCAAAAGTTACACCAGAACCACTCTACTTCTTTTTACTTGGGTTCCTCAGAAGACCAGTCTTAAAAAATAAAGTCTATAAAACAACTTTTGGTATTTGACATGTATGTGGAACCAAATTCCTTTAATAACCCAACATTTAGCCTGTTCAATAAATTTTCTACACATAGAAAAAATTATTGTTTTCAATGTTTCAAAAAATACCATTCTCACCTTTCTTAGTTCCCGCAAAGTCTTTATGCCTGAATGCAACTATGTAGAACAGACCTTGGCATATGCTATAAAATACCCCATGTACTCGTAAATCTACATTAACACATTCTAGGCTATCTTGATTCGAGATATACATATGGATCCATTCTGCTATCTGTGTCAAAACACTCTTGAGTAACCTGCAAAAAATTGTATAGATCATACCATAGTCCAAAATTCTAACAGATTATTTGCAAACAAATTAGGTTTCATCAAGATTTCAATATTGTGAAAAGAATATTCAAAGCTTAAATAATATTTATAAATTTCAAATCATGTAATAAAAAAGAATTTGAACTCACGCTAGTGTAATAAAATTTGCTCTAGCTAACAAACTAGCTATATAGTTGACGGCTGCCTGCCTCAACACCCTGGGTACATTTGGGTTACAAACCTTCTTCCATAAATAGTTCAGAAAGGCTTCTGCTACAGTACTTTTCAAACAGCACATCAAAAACATGACATACTGCACATGATGAGTATCATATGTGGGTAAAATTAACTTATCAAAAATAGGGATGATTTCATGGTAGAGTTTCTTCAATTTTTCCCAGTCTACTTCTCCAGAAGAGCTGTCATGACACTCATCTATGATATAATTGAATAGTTTGTCGAGACATATGTCTAAAGTATCTGCTACTACAAGCCTATTGACCTGAGTAAATGCTGTTGTGGATGATTTCAGAGATTTTACAGATTTTGTGTCATCCATTGAAAAAATGTCTTCATCTTCAGCAAACTTCTGAATTTCTTCTCTAGGTGCATTCACATCCAATATTACCAGTCTGAAAGAGTGATGGACATTTGATATTCTAGTGCAACATAAACTTATCAAAAAAGTTGGCATAGGCAAATTCGTTTCGCAAATGGTTTTGATTGTGTTTGACATGAAAACTGGTTGCGGCGATCTAAATCCAATTATAAATTGATTAAAAAACAAAGCAAATAAGGAAGACTTTAAAAAAAGGAAGATAGTTTATGCTAACACAGCCCAACCTTCGAAAAACATAAACACAAAATATGTGCCAATTTTAATACCTATACAGGAAAACAAATTTAGCAGCTTTTTCGGTTCCGAAGCGAATTCAAAATTTGGAATATATCAAACCAAATGTTGAAAACATTCTTTTGAAAGATGCTGAATAAACTGTAACTGAGAACAGATGTTTAACAGTGGATGGTACTTTCTGAATAGCATCAACATTCTGTTGTTTTCATCAAACATTATGTTGGTAAAAGCATCTGATTTTGTCAGCAACTGAATTATCAGTGCTAAGAACCCACTGGGAAATAGTTCTTTTGCAGCTTTCAAAGCACTACTCTTTTTGAAATATGCTAATAGATGTGGGTTTTTCATATCAAAAAGATCACAGATGATAGGGGGTTCATATTAGTGTCTCAAGTTTTATATTTTACTTAAAGTGCCGTCGATTCCAGATTTTTGAACTGATGAACTTTCTTGTTCCATCTGGAAAGCCGCGACACATGCATGACACAAGTTTTTTATATATTGCAGAGATTTTTTTTGTATAAATCTAGACAACAAATTAATATTGTTGAGCAAATAGAGAAAAATACTGAAAATAAGTTTACAAAGATCATTATGGCGAAATTTAAGGAAAACTCAGACAATAAAAAAACAATTTTATCAAAACCAAATCAAAATTTTTGATTTACCCCAAAAACCATATAATTCATGTATAATTGTTTGACACCTATAAACTCAATGCATTAAAACATCAAACTTTTAATCAGTCTTATAGGTAGTGTTCTATCTCACATTTTTTATTGTATGTTAAATACACCTTTGCCCAACATGATAAGACTTGAACATGCATGTTCCAAAAACTGCTATGTGCTTGATGAATTCTTTATGCTTTAAAGGTTATAAGGATTTTTTCGCGAGTCCACCGTGTAGCACAGCGCACTATCGGGAACCGATGCTCAAATTTTCGCAAAGAACAGGAATAGGGGAAGACAGATGTGACGTCGCCCGAATGTTAAAAAATCACGTGGTACGGGTACCCGCTTAACGTCTGTGAGGTACTAGCGGGAGGCAGGTCTTATGTCAATGTCATTTAAAAAACAGGCATCTCAATTGAAAATTTGTCTTCGCAGTGCTGAAAATTGAGTGAAATTATTAAATCATAAATGGAGGAACACGTACGCCTGATTTTAAATAACGAGGGAGAAGGTCATCGAAGATATATGAACTGCACTTGTCATATCAAATGATTGATTTTATTGATATATATGTACATTGCACAAAAAACGATCGGTCTTTTTATTTCAGATTCAAACTAAGCAGCTAAGTTTATCAAGGAGCTTAAAGCAAACATTTTGCGTAACATGCGCCATCTAACCACTCCCGGTGTAACTTGAAACTGTCAAAACTTCGAGAAGAAGGGGAAATTCCATCTGTTCCCAATCCGGGTTCACTACGGGATCTCGCGAAAAAATCTCTTATGATGCATTCAACAAATTGCTAGAAACATTGACAAATGTTCAACTCCTCAAAGTTGTAAGAAAGAGCTACTCAAATTTATTGTTTGACTTTTGTGTCTCAGACTAATTCTACAAATTCAGGGACAGGTCTTAACAAAGATGTCATTGCTATCATTAGAAAGACATTTAATAATAAATTAGTCAGCTTTGATCTTTTGTTGTGTATTAAAACTGACTTTGAGCCAGGTAAATTTGGTTTAAACTAAAAACTTTAATATTTTATATTTTTTTTCAGAAATGATTTGGCCATACATTTAGCTTGTACAATGTCTGTAAGGCTTCTTAAATTACAAAAAAGACCTGTTAGAGCTATTGCAAAGGTGGGAAGGCACTTTAGTTGCAGGGAACTATTCACAGCTTTGAAGATATTAATGCTGCCTTCAGTATATATATTGAATACATTGATTTACGTCAAAACACACCTGGACAATTTTAGTTCTATAAATTCTGGGATTTATAATACCAGAAACAGAGAAGTATTGGAGGTGCCAGCACATAGGTAGTTTAGAACAAAGGAGAGTGCCAAATACATGGCAATAAAACTCTTCAACAGACTACCCATTGATTTTAAATCACTACCACTGATATTATTTAAAAAAAGAATCAGGCAAGTTTTACTTGATAAAGCTTTCTACTCTATAGAAGAGTTTTTAATGAGTGATAGTCTTTTTTAATTGTTTTAATGTATTGTTCAATTTTAATTTATTTTAATTCGTTTTCATGTTTATACAATTCATGTTTTTATTTGATGTTTTGAATGTATGTAGGCAATTCTGTTTATACTAATATTCAGTTGACTTATCCTATATCGCTTTGTGATCCACAGGAAGAATAAATTATTATTATTATCATACTTACTTTGAAAGAATTAGGTACAGAACATCTTGCCTAAATTTTGGTTGATATTCTAGAATCCAAAGAAGATTATGGACATAATACTCATGTACATGAGTTGACTTATTATAATAAGGAAATTGACTTGTAGCAGATGTCATCAGTAACTCCTTGCACCTAAAAATGATGAATAATGTATACAATCAAAGAAAAGGACAGTCAAATTTAACAAGTTGCATTTTTTAAATACTTACATTGGTATAACAGTAATTAATACATTGAGTAATGTATGGACATTTGCTAACTTGGCATGGTCTTCATCTGTTGGTATACCCTCAGGCCAATCTGGTTCTGTAGGACCTGAAAATTGACAGACTTAACAAATATTTCGCCAACATATGGCAATATGATCTTACCTGGTAAAAATAATTGAACTAATTTGTCTATAACCATCCTTGCATGATAATTATGAGCTGACAGTAAGTTAACTACAAATCCCTGGTACTCTGATACCACAGACTTTTTCTTATCAGTCCATTTCACTGATAATAATACTTCTACAAAAAGTCTTAATTCTTGGGTCAGTATTGAAATACATTCAGTTGCTTCTTTCAGCAATGCTGATATATCATCATCTGTTAGTTCACCATCTCTAATGAGACACAATAGGTTTCCATAGTCTCTAGTTACCTTTGTTTGAATGTAACTTTCTAGTATGTTACGCACCTTCTGAGAATGAGGTAATTTAAACCTGACTTTTGTAGGAGTTTGGCTCAATTCACTCAGCCGACCTCGTAGGTTCTTCGACCTTTTTAGGATAGAAGTCGGAGTGCTTTTTGAGCTTGTAGACATTTTCAGCAGTTGCACTCAACCTAAACAGATACCTTCACCACACGGACTTTAAGTAAAAACCGCAATTTTTAAGTGATTATATAGGAGAACGTTTATTCTTGATGTTCTCTTTCAGAATATATAGAACACAATATTTTTTCGATGCCGAAAACTTGTTCAAACTCGCTTTTCGCTACCACACCACGAGGAACTTGGAAGTTGTCAAATCAAGTTGACAGCGATAGCTGTCAAGTAGCTTTCGAAAACTGCGCCATAAACATCACCATCAGTTCATATGCAACACATAATACAGATACCGGCAACAAATCTCCCAATAGCTGCATATATCATAAACCAGCTGTATTTGTGTTTGAATGTTTTTTATCACTTTTTAATTACAAATAAACTGCATTGATAAAAGCAAAAAAATACGCAAAATTCGTGTTACTTTCATGTCCCCAACTCCGATGAGGAACATGTAAGTCGCGCTGTTGTCAAACTTTCTAATTTGTCACACGTTTTTATCGATGAAGTGATTAATATAATACATATCAGCGTACACTTACAAGTATTTCTGTAATTACTGACCTATAAGTCAATAAAAACAAAGTAGTACATATAGCAATTACTTTAATCAGTAAACCTTATTTTTATATCAGTAATAACTTAAGAAGGTATAGCGAAACTGACAAATTAATAAATCACTTAATTTGGTATGAATGACAACAGTTGATTAGCTTAATCAGCATTTACTAATGTTTCTTAAGGTAGTTCGATGCCTGCCTGATAAGGGGTGAAGGAAGTAATAAATACTTATGAGCTTTTACTTTTAAAAGTTGAGTATAATTACTGAGTTTATCACTGAGAATTATAAATGAATAAAAATGAAATAGAACAAGTAGTAATGACTTCAAAGAAGGCATAGCATCACTGATAAATTAGTAAATACTTAATTGGGTGTGATTACCTATATAGTTGTATTAGCACTTGCTAGCCTAATTGTAAGGTAGCTCGATACCTGCCTGATGAAATGTAAATATGTATTAGATTTGATTAAACAGTTATGAACGTGCACCCCGTAAAAATTACAAGAAACGAAATAAGTTGTATCCTATGAACTATAATATTGGTTTAAAGAAGATACCGTTGAAATATAATAGTTTTTTGCCGATAATGAGTGAAAAAAATATGGTGCTTCGTCACCAAAACAGAAATTGAAATGAGATGCGAAGCAACAACGCGATAATGTTCAAGTATTTACTAAGTATTCACTGTGAAGTTATAAGTTATAATTATTCGCATATACGTGAGAATCCGTTAAAACTGATAGACGTAAGTGCTTTCTTTTTAGTGTTCGTACACATATTCACTTCGTTGTATTTTCTAGCCTTATGAAGCTTTTACTTCACTGTGTCAATTTTAGCTTTCTAGTTATAAGTATTTAGTACTCACAGCTGCCTTTATTTATCTTTCTGATGATTATGAATTGGAATTATACCAGTTATTCAGGTAAAGAGTGTTTAAGCACACATTGGACATTTGTGAAAAAGAAACAAAAAAAAGATGGAAATCCCTATAAAAAGGTTTAACTGTGCTGTAGACTTTTGGTAGAACCATGTAACGGGGTTGCCTAGACATTTTTCCACAAGACCCCAGATGTCAACGGACACACGATTTATTTTGCTGCACTTGAACTAGGTAGATTGGTTACGTGTTGATTGATTGCTGTAGAAATTGGAATTTACTGCTGGCGTGGAGCCCAACAGATAATTTGATGCAACGATAAAACTTGGCAACGCTGTAAATTGGTCGCGTTCCAAACGTGAATTCGCAGGCTGTCACCGAACCGAGCAGTTGATCGCCAAAACAGTGTTGTATTCAGGATTTAGGCGAATTATCCGATTTTATCAGAGAAAATTACGGAAAAGTGTCTGTGAGTGCACAGTGATCGGTATGTCGGACAACAGTACGAATTTTCCACCTCAAACCTACTCGTCTTCTTTCTGTTTGAACGCGCTGGCAGAGGTAAAGCTCAACTGATTACATGCATGCTAGGTTATGCGGGAAAATAAAAAAAATACATATAAACATTCAACCTGTCCTAAATTGTTGTAAAAGCTGCCAATGAATGTATTCATGGGAAGAGTAGTTTAAAAAGAAGCTGCGTATTGCCTATATATGCATTTTTGGGCATATTCTGTTTGATTTCAGATTTTCTGTTAAGATACATCATTCTCCCAAAATAATCCTAATCTATAAGTGTATGTTATACCGCCTTTCTGATATCTATTTGCATTATATCTGTTGCTTGTTAGGTTTGTATTTTATTTATTTAATGATATTTAATATACACAAAATATTTAATTAATGATTTCAGCTTTCAGCAGACAGATATGCTATTGTTTGGTACCTGTTTGTCTAGTTTGCACTAAAGTAATGAATAAAACATTATAGCTACAGATAATAGCATAAATACAAGTGCATTCTTAAAAAAAATGACAAGCCTCTGTTTTGTACATCCAAAATATACATATAATAAAGACAACATAACTACTATATCATATTTGATGTCATATAGCTAGAAATGTAACAGCATTCCCAAAAATGATTAGATTTATCTAGTGGGATAGATTATGGGCAAACAATCTTATGGGCCTCTATATGACTAGTGATAACGTTACTATTATAACAAGTTTGTTTGTAGAAAAAAGGCAAGTCGCTACCTTAACTATACCGGCCGTTTTTGATGAAAAAATGATTTCCGACCCTAATTTTTGGGTGTAGATGAAGAAATGGGGCTGAAAATGACCGCAAACAAGAAAGTGATAAAATATTTTACTATACAGGGTGGCGCATCGAAAACGAAACAGGCGCATTTACTGGCAGCTCAGTTTTTTTTTTGAAAAACGCTCAGACCCATCGATTTTGTTTTCGAGCAGGACACAAGTTTGGCAAATAATCATGTTAGCACATGCAGCCCTATAAGTGGGGGTGACACCACCCCCAAAATCATTAGTGGAAAGGGGGGTCGAGTGATACCTTATTTTAAAGGTCTTTCAATTCAATTCAAAGTAGACTTTAATAGGTACATCAGATTAGTTTGTACTACTTTCAGAAGAAGTTTGACTAAAAGAATTTACTTAATAAGTAAATGCTTTTCTTCACTACCCCATGGTTTGTTTATCATTTTGTTGTTGAAAATAGCTATTGTAGCGTTTTTTTGAAGAAAGATAAGGAAATATCTTGTACTTATTTTAAATAGGAATTTAGTACATAGTTTGCGATTGATTTGACCACACTTTGTTGCTAAAATAACTTGTAACACTTTATTACATAAATTAACCATGGTATATTCCACAGCAGAAAGAGTTGAAATTATCGAAATATTTTTCGGAAATAAATAATCAGTGCGCTAATAGAACAGCAGAAATATTTAATGAGCGACATTAGAACAGTAACGTGCATCGAAAATATGTTCTAGAACTTGTAGCTAAATTTCGGGAAACTGGGTCAGTCGCCAATAAACAACGCAACATTGAAAATCCCATAAGGAACGAAGCAATAGAAGTGGGGGTTTTAGGTCAAGTTTATGTAGATCCTACGTTAAGTACCCGCAAATTGGAGACTGTGTGTGGTGTTAGTCGACGTACTGTCCAACGCATTCTAAAGGCCCATAGTTTTCATCCGTATAAAATTCACCTGGTACAAGAACTTAATGAAGACGATTTTGATCGGCGATTAGAGTTTTGTGAAGATATGAGTGAACGAATTATAAACGATGAATATTTGCTATTCAACACTTGCTTTTCCGACGAATGTTCCTTTTTCTTAAATGGCGTAGTAAATCGTCATAACTGCCGATATTGGTTCGATTCTAATCCCAGAATTTATCATCAGGTTAATACACAGCAGCCAAAAAAATTAAATGTTTGGGCTGGTATTTTTGGCGATCATTTAGTTGGTCTTTTTTCTTACCTGGAAATTTGACGGGTGAAATGTATTTGGAATTGAATTGCCCCCAAGATCGCCAGATTTATCACCTTTGGATTTCTTTATGTGGGGTCATCTAAAAATCAAAATCTATGCTACTCAGCCAACATCATTAGAAGACCTGCGACAAAGAATTGTGAATGAGTGCCTTCAAATTACTCCTCAAATATTGCAAAATGTGCGGCAACGTTTTGAGCAAAATCGTTATTATTGCATGTAGAGTCACGGTGGCCATTTTCAACATTTACTTGCCTAATGGGTCAGTTCATTCTTCATTTTTAAATTACTTTGCTGCCAAATGTATTGATCTCCACTAATGATGATACATATTAGTTTTATTTAAGCTTTAAATCAATAGATCTTCAAAACTACTGAAGTACATTAATTTTATATCATTATAAAGGGAATTGAAAGACCTTTAAAATAAAGTATCACTCGACCCCCCTTTCCATTTAAGATTTTGGGGGTGGTGTCATGTGCTAACGTGATTTTTTGCCAAACTTGTGTCTCCCTCGAAAACAAAATCGACGGGTCTGAGCGTTTAAAAAAAAAACTGAGCTGCCAGTAAATGCGTCTGTTTCGTTTTCGATGCGCCACCCTGTATATGAAATATTTTTCTTGTATTGTATGGAATACGGCTTGATATGAGTTAAAAAGTCGTAACTTCCTTATTATTAAAGATCGATGGACCCTGCATGTAGCAAATGAAAATTCACAATATTATTATAAGCTTAACATATTAAAACCATTTTTGACAAAAATGGACTTAACCTAGTCTGGCTCTGGGGTACAGATTTGGATATGCTGGAAAATACTATTGACCCTCTAATCACCGAAATCGTCGAAGCGAATCCTAATGAATTCGATACTGATATTGTATTCCAGCAAGATGGTGCTCCACCACACTACTACAGACAAGTTAGGAATTATTTCGATAACAATTTCCTCGGTCGTTGGATTGGCTGTCGAGGTCCTGTGGAATGGCCAGCTCGCTCGCCAGATTTGACACCTTTAGACTTTTTTTGATGGGGCTATTTGAAGCAAAAGGTGTACGAAACTGAAGCTGCTTCAATATTGGATATACGGCTGAGAATAACAAATATTTGTAGAAATATCGATGTTACTATGTTTGAAAATGTTCGATGCGAAATTACGGACCGGCTGTTATTGTGTCAAGAAGTTCAAGGCAACCATTTCCAGCATCATCTGAACTGAACTCAACGTATTCAAATTATCAAGTTAAATGTCAATGTCTTCAGGTAATTAAATGTACCACCATTTTGTAGTAGATAAAGTCATTGACTTCTAGGGTTATAAAGTACTCGTCAGGAGCTTCAAAACTATGTGCCACAAGACCCCCGTTTTAATATAATTTTTTTTCCAAGATGGCACCCAGCGGCCATCTTTACATTTTCATCTGTCAATTTTACTCTAAAATGTGGTATCCACGCATCAATTTCATTACCTCAAGTTTTAATTTTTTGAATTGATTCGTTCAAAAAATCAAAGGGGAGTGGGGCAGTAAAGAAAAGCATTGTATATACTACCTATAGGTCTGTTATTCATTGCTGTCAGTTTTTCTTCATCTAACTATATAGAAGGCTTGTATAACTGTAGCAATGAGCTTGACTGACAATATATTTGGTTGTTTGTGCTTTGAGCCTGGTTTCAATGTGAATTTTTTTAATATTAGAAAATTGTTTATTAGCCAAACATTTTATGCAATTTACCTGGTGCAAATGAATATAGAGAAAATTAAGCAACAGACAAATTGATGACAAATTTTTACATGCCAATGAATCAAAGTTTATCTTATTCTTTTCAAAGCAAAGATTCCTTGAATTCTCACTAAAAAATGTACACGTTAATAGTAGTGCAATAAAAAACAATGTTTTGTTCAGGCAAGTTGACTCCATAATTTACTAATTAAGAAAACCCGTTTTTTCAATAACCTCACAAAATAATTAGTCCTGTTTTAATTGTAAAGAACTTAAATTTGGATACGATGAAATTGAGGGGTAATATTGCAGCTACTGAAAACGAGTCACATATTACACACAGATGCTACAGCTACTGTGAGTTCCTTTGATCTTGCAGTCATCACCTATTTAGTAATAATCCTACTGTATACCATGGGCGCCAGCATGCATTTTTCCCTAAGGTATGATTATGCTCTTGAAGACATCTACCTTCCCACATATTAATTATATGATACATCAAATAATAGTGACAGTGACAGTCATGGAAATTGCATTAAACACAACGCGCCTGATTTATGATAGGCTGTCGCCTCTGGTAGCACTCTGTGATAATGTTGTCTGCATAATGATTGTTTTGAGAACAAATGCGTGGATTATTATGTTCGTCCATCATCAGGATCAATATGAAATACATGATAGGTCGTTTTTATAACAGCGTTAGTCCTTTCATCACCCACTTTCTACTCCCACATTTGCATTGGCATCGCAGAAAATTCGAAAAGGAGATATGTTTTATGGAGGTTATATGATCACTCGGATTTTGATGAAATTTTGACAGAAGGATATTGCTATGCCAATGACAAAAAAGCTTCGTAGATTTTGAAAATCGGTCCAGTGGCGGCAGAACTACGGTCAAAAAAATAAAAATCGCCCAAACTCCGTTTTTTGGCGATTGAGAGAGTTGGTGGAGTTTTTGATCTCAATAATACTATGTTAGATGTAGTATGTAGTGATGAATATTTTATGGCGCTTCTAAACAGGCAAAATTTTCTGTCCCGGCCATATATGATGCAATGTAAGCTCAATGCCTACAATTTCGTCAATAATTCTTGCCTGATTGTGAAGTTCTTCTAATAAGAAATTTTGACAAGGTATGTGTCCACACATTGCAAACAATATTGCCAAGTGATCGTTGAGACATAGCTGATATATCCGAGAAATATGTCCGACAGGGTTATTACGTAAAAAACCTATTAACCCTTTGTGCTCGGAATTAAATAATTTTAAGATTTTCACTTCATAAACCTAGTTCCGAACCTAAAGTATGTAAGAAAATGACAAACATTTTGTGAAAAAAATTTATTACACATTTTTTTTGAAAAAGTGTTGGTCACCCGAACGAACCAGTAGGACCACCAAACAAAAACTTTTACCAAAGAAACAAAGCATTATCTTTCCACAACATGAGGCTAATCGACATTATGATATGCAAGAAAACAATTTCTCATGTCATTCAGGCATAAACCTACATCGCCAATCGTGCAACTCCACATACTCCTATGAGCTTCCTTTTTTCTACTGCAGATGGCGCATCGTCTGGAAGTTCCATATGGGCATGTGAGCAGATTTTTCTGTCCTTTTTTCAATGGGAACGTATTTTATATAATGATTTATGGGTTCCATTGATTTTCGACCTTTTTTCTTGGTAATGCATCCCGACGCAAGTCCTGAAGAGACATTTATCCTGAACTGTTTCATATCGAGGGTCGAACCGCAGCAGCGTTTTTGAAACAAAATGTACGCGTTGACTACCGTAGTATCGACAAAGTGACAAACTATCCTATGGTACCACTTCTTGCTTTTTCGATCTATCGCGGAGCATACTTTTAGCATGTCCGCCTTATCGACGGCACCCATATGTTTATTGTAATCCACAACCAAAGACGGACAAGTTACTTCTGACACAGTTCCATCTTTATTCTTTTTATTGATTGTTATGGTAATTTGACAAGAAATAAAAGGTTTTTTGTCTTTCCATTTTAGACATACCAACATATCATTTGTTATTCTCCAGACATATTGGCCTCGCGCTAGTTTTTTATCATCGATAAAGTCATCTGGCAAATATTTTTTCCCTTTTCTCAAAGTGCCACAACCACATACATAATTCCATTTTGTTTCAAGTAGCTGAGCAGTGGAACACTTGAAAAATAGTTGTCAAAAAAAATTCTATAATTTTGTTGTTGCAAATCTCTTGTCAAGTCTTTGACTACTCTTCCTCGTAAATCTTTTTGTGGCAAATCACCAATCTTACCAGAATATATTTGAAATTCGCAAATATACCCTGAATCATCTGCCCGCACCCAAACTTTGTATCCACTCCATTTATTTTTTTCTGTAAAAAAAAAATAAATGACCGTTTACAGTCCTAGTGGTTACCTCAAGAAACCACTACATATTACATGGAACAAAACCCTGTCAGATGGTAAATTGATCAATTGAGTCGGAAGGTATGAAATATTACAGTTATAAAACTAAATACTGACGTGTCATTTCAATTTTCACTCAGTGTGTTCACGTTTACAAACAGCCGAAAAAAGACGGAACCTTCGCAATGGATAAAGAAACTTCACGGAATACACACTTCCTCGCACGGGGCAGAGCCGTCAATTTTTTTCCCGATAGAAGTCACTAACGGTAATACTTTTAAACCGCGGTAAGGCTACCCGACCAGTAGGACTGAAATTACGTGTTTTAATATAGGTGGTTACATGGATCGACCAGTAGAACGGAAAGGGTTAAATCAAATAGTTCATTTCGCGCCTGCTGCAAGTGAGCATGAAGTGAACGCTAGTTGGCATGTTGTAGGAAAACATACATAATATAAAAAAAAAAACGAGAATGTCATTTTAAAGTTACGTAGTACCCTGCGAGCCATAAATATTGCCCGTTTAGATGCTTCATTAATGTTAAAACGCTAAGCTATGCGATCCCGTGATGAAGTTTATCAGTATATAGTTATAGTCACCGTTATTGGCGGTTATGTCATCACCGCCATATAAATGAGTAAACACATTGAGCCTCCGTACCATGAGCGGAACACTGCGCAGACTAATCTTCAGCTCATCTGCTACTATCTCCAGTAGCCATTGGTAATAGGGGACCGCTGTTTTCATCCCCTTTCTGGAGATACTCTAATAAATATAGCACGAGCTGTCAGCCTCCTCCATTCGTATTTCCGGGCACTGTACAATTTTATATTGAAGATTGATAACAGGACAACCCAAATTGCACGCCGATGCGTAGGTTGTCACTCTGACAAATATGATTAAGGTCACTCATACGTAACGACAAAGTTTTCGAGACGGAGACACAACTAAAAAACGTATGTCTTTGAGCTTATCGAACAAACGTTCACACACAGGGGTAGGTTGCATGTGTATGTATGAGGTATATGGAGATATTTGTATAAAGTGATACTGGTAGTCTGACTTTGACCAGCCAAGAACGTTGACGACAACTATACCTGCATGTCTTCTTGCAGTCCAAGTTCTTGTCTGAAACAGGTGTGTCTACCAAGGGTTGGCGAAAATCCCAGCGGCAGCATTGGGGATATTTGCGACACTTCATTTGGTTATAGTAATAATAGTAATAACTGGAGGATTGTAAATGTTGCATCCATGGTATCAGTGAAAGACGTTCTATTATTAAGAAATGCCCGATCCCAGTAATATGCACCTGTACGTATAATATTCATACATATTGGCCATATATTTTTCATGGAAACAAAGAATTGGTTTTATGTAGAACTGTAGACTTTTACAATAGATCGTAGTTGTAAGTGAACATACCTACTCATGTTTGGATTTCATTACAGTCTTTCGAATAAACCCGACCCATTATTTTCTTGTTATTTTTGTTAAACATGTGCCTATTCTTGCAATTTTGTTTTGGCTGCTGCTACTGTATTGGTTACTTCAAGTTAATGTGAATGTGTGAATGTTACTCAGTCTATAAGTGGACTCTATATCACACTTGTGATTGCTTTGGTTGATTTGATAGTTCATATGGCGTTAGATTTGAAATATACTGAATATAATCTAATTGATGACATAATTGCCTGAAAAGTACAAAGCCAACCTACTAGACGCTATTTTGTTAAACCATCGTGGAAGTCAAAAACAAAGTTGGGCTTTTTCGTTCGATCGTGTCTCCACCGTTACTGAATCGATTCCGAATAACCTGAAAGTCTCTTCATCACTACAGTCCTAGCTACGTCGCAAAAAACTTGAATGGTGCTTTACAATGATTAGTATTACCTAGCAAGGATGCGACGATTCAAATCAAATTTTAATCGTCGTTTAAAAAATTATAAATCGCTTTTAAAACTAATCGTCGACGCAAATAACTGAAAAACTCATTAGAACATTCAAACAGAAGATAGTTTATTGAACACTAGGAGTTTACATGCCTTGTGTATTGCATTTTTTACAGTTCGGTCTGCTTCCCGTTTTTCTGTATAATTTATTCCATTTTTCAATAAAATATTTCCAAATAGTGTTTGTACCACCACTTTAGGACATTTTAGAGACCGTTCGTTGGTCACATTTTTTATGTTGTTTTGGGTTGGATTTAGGAGGAGCTATGGCTTAATCCAGGGCTTAATAACTAAGCTGTCACCTAGCGGATTACAAGTCTCCTTGCGGCGAGGCTGATTCCCTTAACACACTACGATTTAAACAAGGAAATATAGGAGATAGGAACACGCAATTTACTTATGAACGTATATACTTAGACCGACTATAAGTTAAGAAATGATCCGACTCGCGTCAACCGCCGCTCATTATAAAGACGAACTTATTTTGTTGCACTGACAGGAAAGCCGAGGCACGCGTACGATATGTAAACACAACGTTTTTCTATGACGCCCAGGTGATTTTCTCTAGACAACAATTATTTATGGTCGAATTATTGCCATATTTAAGGGAAAAATCGGTACAAATTGATAAAAACAAAAAATTAATTGAAAAAATAGACATCTTTTTTTTCAAAAAAAAAAAAATCGTGATTTTATGCAACACTGGCACCTAGTCTACCAGCACTGGGTTGATTCTAAAACAAAATGACGCTTATTTAATCTTAGTCTGGTAGTATGTATTCGCGTTAAAAATTTCGTAATGACACTTTCTTAATTACTGCTCCACTGATCCAAACTAAGCATTTACAAAACGGAAAGTGCTGGAAAGATTTTGAGAGAGCAAGGTTTACCTATCATATTTTATACAAGCTGTTATTTTTTATAGGATGAAAAGTCTGCCTTGAATGCTGCAAAATGCAGCAATCAAAAAGTTGAAGATGGTGCCGAGAATGCTCCAATCTTTGACTGCTTCATATCAACGGTAAGTTTTTTCGGAGAGGCGATTATTTACTATAAATTCCTTATAAACAATGAACTAAACTAAATATCGAAACATGTTATCTAGCCCAGTGATTAAGCCCTCCTAAAAGGCAAGTACTTTTGGAAATCCCTGTAAATAAGGTTTTATATACTCCAGGCAGAAGAGTCAAAAATGATCTAAGGCGGCGAACAACCAGACGGCCATCATAGCATCAAATTAGTACAATTATTTAACAAGGGAAGGGCATGACCATGTAAATTTATTTTGAGACTTAGTTGTATTTAGGGTATTCACCCGTTGGAATGCTTCAATCAGTTCAAAGAAAAAGACGTTACAAATTTAAATTTAAATATACTAGTAAGGTTTTTCTAGTGTCGTCGGAAAAATAGCCTCTGTTTGTATGACGCGTTACTTTTGTGTACGTTATCGTTATTATATAATCTTTTTTTTGTAAAAACAATTAAATGAATAAATAAAAAAGCAGAGTCGTGGACTCGAAACCCGAGTACCACGTTGACAACTATACTCGGGAACCGAAAAGGAAGAGAGCAGTATAGGCTATTTCGCCGCTGATACTCGAAAAGCCTTGCCAGTATATAGTTAAGCTGAATTTCAATTTTTAAACGTCTTGCAGCATTGCGCGTTACCATTCCAAGGGATGAATACCTTAAAGGAGTGCAATCACTACTCGAAGTCTCGTCTCGACATAAATTACCAAGGTCGTTCCCTCCCCTTGTAAGGTGAAAAAGGGGAGTTCAATGTAAGTTCGATTTAATAAGCGCATCTGAGAGCAAAATGCCCTTGAAACAAAATTGAACACCAGGTAGTGGGATAGTTGACAGGAGGGGATGCCGCGCATGTTTCACGATTCAGGTCTCGCAAGGTAATTTTACACTATGATACAGCAATGCTTAACATTTTCTTTGCGGGTTGGCACACGCCTTGGTGATAACTATGAGTTGTTTGTAAGAAGACAAGGAAAGTTAATGGTTAATCATGGTCAGATTCTTCCTATGGCAAAGCACAATTTTAATTTTAAGATAATATTCATCCGATGAGAAAGTTTTTTTGGAACTTTCAGTCGTAAATGGAAAGATATATACAAAAATATCTTGGATCTTTATGTGGTTGAACTAAGGTAACTGTATGCCCCACGCTGTTCTAGCGAGAAATCATTTAGGGTTTATAAACGTTACCATCATCCTGGCACCATGAACACGGCATTCAATTGTAAGTATGTAAAGCTTACTGGGAAGGCAGTCTATATTTACTATTTTCAGATTTTACATCTTTTAGCAAAAATATGTCATAATTTTAGTGTCCCAGATTGGTTTCTCTATACAGGGATCTCGGCTCCTGTTATACCTACAGCAAATGTTAAATTGGGAAGGTTTTAGAGGAAACTTAGTGCTTTCGATAGCCGGATTTAGATTTACGATCGGTCGATTGGTTTTGAAAATATCTGCGAAAAACAAAAAATGGCGGAATTTGTTTTTGGCCAGTAAATCCTAAACAATTAATTTGACTGCTGTCAAAATGTGACATAATTCGGACATTTTTTAGGAAAAATGGGATAGCATCTATGACATGTCTCAATCGTCTTTTGTTTTTCAGCAATCCGGCTCAACTTTCATTTTTCTTATCACCGCCATATTGGATTTTTTGATTTTTGAAAAGAGTGTAAAATTTCCAGTCAAGTGATGTCTCACAAGTCCATAAAAGATTGGAGTATCACCGAAGTATCATCACACGTAATGTTATGTATTAGTTTTTTTCTCAGGAAGCAATGATTTATTTGTCAGAAAATATCATTGATGAATAAGGCATAAAAAACACATAAACGTTGAATTTTCAATAGAATATTAACGTTAATATAGACTTTTCAACAAGTCATATGTTTTGGGACAAATCCCAACTATGAGTGTGTTAAAAAACAAGTCAGAAAAATCGTGGTAAATTTATTTTACACTTGAACAAACAAACATTTTACAAAATCTTAATGAATGTAAAATCTAATTCTGTAGGTGGGTATTAATTTACATATTTGCAAAATAACGTCCATTTGCATCCAGACATTTTTGACAATTGGTTACTGTTTTTCGTACAACCTTAGCTAGTGTATTTCTGTTAATGTTTCTAACCGTGCTTAAAATTTTTTGTCTCAGGTCTTCTATGGTAGCGTGAGTATCAAATTCATAGACCTCATTCTTTGTGTGACACCAGAGGTAGAAAACCAAGGGTGAAAAGTCAGGGGATCTAGGAGGCCAAGATATTGAACCATTGAATGAAATTATTCTTTCATCAAACTGCTCTCTCAAGAAGTTCCTGACTTGAATGGTGTTGTGAGCCGGACATCCATCCTGTTGAAACCAGGTTCTTCTCATCATCGGTTAGACTAGCTCGTAAAGTCGGCACAACCTGGTTTTGCAAAAGCTCTAAGTACCTCTGTCCGTTTAGGTTGTAGTCAAACAAAAATGGTCCTATAAGTCGATTTCCTGAAATAATTAATACCTAATTTCAAATAGGTGCCAAATTAAAAAAGGTAAGTTAGATTAAATTACCAATAACCCCACACCAAACGCTAGTTCCAAATCTGGCCTGTAGACGTCACTCTGCCACTTAATGGGAATTGCGCTTATTAAAAACTCCACAATTCTTAAACCTGCTCTCATCGGACCACAAGATATGATTTACAAAATCGGGATTGTCATTAGACTCACAGAAAGTTTCCTTAAGTCCTTGAACTATTGTAGGTTTGTAAGGATGGTACTTATTCTTATTTAACACCCTGTACTGTTGATTTTGACACACCAATTTCTCGTTCTATTCTATTTTTTTGTCAGATTTATGATTTTAATGAGATAAAACGTACCTACTACTTATTAAAACACATTTTAATACTTTGAATTAATTAACGTCAAAGTCAGAACCTCCTTAGATGAAAAAAATGCGTTACTTTTTAATTTCATCCTTAGAAAAAAATTAATACGTAACATTACGTGTGATGACATTTCGATGATACTCCAATCTTTTATGCACTTGTGAGACATCACCAGGCTGGAAATTTTACGCTCTTTGAAAAAATCTAAAAATCCAATATAGCTGTCAAAAGAAAAATGGATGTTGATGCAAGTTGTGGGAAAACAAAAGACGATTGAGAAATTTTATACACGCTATCTTATTTGCCTTAAAAAAAATTCCAAATAATTTCAATAGCATTCTCTGTTTTTCGCGGATATTTCCAAAACCAATTTGACCGATAGTAAATCTGAAGCCGGCTATCGAATGCTTAAGTTTCCTCTAAAACTTTCCCCTTTTAACCTTTGCTGTAGGTAGAAAGGAGCCAAGATCGCTGTATAGAGAAGCGAATCTGGGACACACTGTATATTTATTTATTTATTAAATATATAGTAGTGAGCAGACAATGTCCGAAGTAACTATCCCTATTATATAACAATAGTTATGATTAAATTTTACATTGTGTAATAAACGAATGCATTTTGCAACTGGACCATTTCTCTATCGATACGATTTTTAAGTTGGATTATATATGAAGCAAATATTTCATTTCTTATTTTAAAATGAAAGATTAGGATGTAACTTGCACGAAAACATCATTTTTTCTTTAAGGAACCGTCGCTTGCTATTTTATAGAACTTCAAAGTTGCATTTTGGGTGGTAATACTGTGGTATAGAATACTGCTTTATACGCTGTTTTCTTCTTGATTATACAAAACACTGTTCAAAATTATACGAATAATAATAATACTGTAAGTTACTGTGATACTGTTCATCCCAATAATGCAATTTTGAATTATTTTAATGATGAAAATAGTTCATTGTTAAGTAGTCATTTCTTTTATTTCAGTTGCTATGTTGCCAAACCATGGATAGTAATATACCTTAATTTGGTTTGTCAAATTCTTACTTATATACTAGCGCAAACATGTGCACTCGGCACAGGATTGTCATGAAAATGCGATTTGGAGGATTTTGGAGGTGTGGCCGGCAGGTTTTACGGTACTAAATCCACCTTGTGCCCTACGATAGCGTTAGCTAAAGAGACTTTTTTGAATAATGCCATATGCCATCCACAAAAGTACTTGGGTTATTGTTTTTCCTATATTATAGTTATAATCTATTTACTTTTTGTATGTATGTAAGAATTATTTAAAGTGAAGCTGATGTTACAAAATGTACCTAATTAAATGTGATATATATGAGAAATAACTGAAAAAGTAGCTGTTGCAAAACACTAAATAATGAAAACATAACAAAGAACATTGAAAGTTTTTTGATGATTTCATGAAATGATCGTTGATCTTTATTTAACTATATAATGTTGGACGATGATATGTTGGGTGGACCTGGCGAGGTGGTCCAAATCGACGCATCGAAGTTGGGTATTTTTATATGCAATGACCGCTGGTGCCTTTTGTATTTTTTGTCACGCGAGCCGCTGGTGCATTTTTCACTGTTTAGACCCATACTGCTCAAAATTTAATCTAGTTTTCGGTAAATATTGGGACAACTTCTTATAAAACAAGCCATCGACAATAAATTATTTATTTTGCAAATAACCTCATTTTTTATTACGTATTTCTCCCAAAAAAGGTAGAACTTGGCAACAATGGATATCATTCATCTTATCTGTCAAGAAATGAACGTTATAAAATGTCCATTGAGAATTGTTTGTACTTTCAAATATTTCTTATAAACGCAAAAACTTTGATCTCATTGAACATGCGTGAAAAAAAGGTTAAGGAATTTCAAGAAGGCATTGAAAAATAACAAAACAACACCTCTACACAGGTTACCAAGTAAATACTATCATTTACCTTTTGCAAAAAACAACGATTTTTTACAGTTTTACATCTATTTTCCTTAGTACTGTACAGTGTATGTTATATTCTTATGATTTAGATTTAGAGAATCCTTTTGTACAAAAAGCAAAAAAAGACAGCATATAAAACAGTATTCTATTCAAGAGTATTACCACCAAAAATGCAACTTCGAAGTTCTATAAAATAGCAAGCAGAGGGTTCCTTAAAGAAAAAATGATA